ACATCATAGAGGATTTCTTATATCCCCTTAGAGGAGTGATTTATTCATGATATTCATCTGAGACGGAGGAAAAAAATCGACATAGGTAGTTTTCGTCACGAATTTATGATTCTATTTTTTCTTTTTAGTTTTCTTTTTAGTTTTTTTTTAGTTTCGTTAATACAGTAGTTATGGGTTTCTGGTTGACGTACTGATTTTATAAGGGCAGTGGAACACTGGATAAACACATTTTATCTGTTTTAATGGATTGTTGGATTTTAATGAACTGTTATTATTGCTGCCACAGCTTTTAATTCTGTGAACATGAATATTATATACGTTAAATGTGTGCGTGGTGAGCGTGTTTAATGGTGTTGTGAAGGTGCAAAGTAATGCAGCAATTAAAGTTGAATGTTGAATGTAGTTGATTGAATTTGGTTCGGTTTGATTCGATACAATTGTCATATTGAAACTTGTTTTATTTGAGTTTATTAGTTCGTTCGATAAGTTGATTTATTCGTTGATTGATCTGATCTGATGTGATTCGATTAAGTGTTGATGTGTATTGTATTGTAAAGTGCATATATTCTGCAAAACGTTNATTTATGAGTTAATCTTGTCAGTGAATAATTGGGTGTTTTTTGCTTCAGACGCGCCTGAAGTGTCGGATCACGAAGAAGAAAATCGCATCAAGAAAGATCAGCGAGCGCAGCAATCGCAACTCGGCTCCGGCCAACCTGACCATCAGCGCGTGCCGGCGGTAAACGGGCGGCCCCAAAAGGGCAAAGGCTGGCCACGCATTAGTGATTCCGGTACGAACCTTCACAAGAACATTTAGCCCCGATCCATACTGTTCGATGCCTCGAAAATAATGCGATTTTAAGGGAATATGTCCAGTTTTTTGATAAATTCGAAGAGATGAAATTTTTTGTTGGCTTATTTATGGCTTATGTTCAGTGCTGGACGTTGGAATTATGTGAGGAAGTTTTGTGATCGTGATGATATGAGGATGAGTAGGAGCTGGAATTTGGATCGTCTTGGATTAATTGAACATTGAAAATTTAGGGTCGACTACGACAACGACGTCATCAACGGGAAGCTACTGTGGTGGGCGCTTATCGCCCGAGAGCACACCAAGGAGATCGCCATCGAGGTGANTGTGCAGAAATGATTCATGATCACTGCAAAGTTGTTTATAAATGCGTGATATTTGAGCAGTCGGGGTCCAGTTATGCTTATTACGCTTTGTGTTGAATGTGTTACATTCATAAATGCGATTGAATGGATTCATTGAGTTGTGAGTTGTCCAAATTTGGTTACTGTAAGAGTATTTCACGAATCGTTTTGATTAGTAGAGGGTATTGCAGATAAATTTATTAGTAAAGTTATGTTGAGGTGTTTAGTGAGTGTGGAGTGAGTGATTGAATTGATCAAAGTGTGGAATAGTTGATCAGATGTTGTGATTTGATTGATGATCTGACTGTTGTTGGATGATTGTAGGCGAGGTGCGCGATTTGAAGTGGGCCATCGTGACTCGGAGCAGTTTCGAACGATCGGCGGAGATTTTGACGATCTAGAGGAGCTGAATTCAGAGTCGGAAGAGCAACCGGCCGAGTTAGTGCCGCTCGGGATGCGATCTCTCAGTTTATCAGGATGTCGGAATCATCGACGACGAAAGACAAGGACCAACTTTCATGGTGCGTTCCCTCTTCATTTCTCTCTTCTCAGAAAATAACAAACAAAAAAATTTATATTGATGTATTCTGCATCTGTTCTTTATGAAATGTCATTTTGATGAGTTTTATGTTGAATTCATTTTCATTCATTCATTCCTTCTATCTTTCATTTCATTTGTTTGAATGTGTTCTTTTATTGTCTTGTGCAAATAACACCGTCTATAATGACTGTTGAACTTTCAAATAATAAGGAATCATCAATGAACCAGTTTTGTTGATCTGATTAAATTGTTCGCTTGATAATTTAATTTTTTTACACTAACAAATGCGACTAATCACTTTAATAACGCAAACAGTGGCAGAAAGGGGCTAATCACTCATCGTAGGCATTGAATATTCTATAGATAATTTCTCAACTAATGCTCAAAAAAACGATCAATCAGGCGAAAGCAAACAATGTGAATGGCAATGCGAATTCTTTCATTCCCTTCCATGGATCTTTTCATTGAATGACTCATGAAGATGACACGTAATATATTATATTTTTTTAGTTTAAAAGCAATAAAATTTTTGCAACCGTGCGTTTTGAAATTGAAAATTTTTCGAACCTTAATGATTACTTTGTTTTTTCTTTCTTCTTGTTTACTTCGTTTCGATTCTGTATTCAGTCCGTTCAGTCATTGATTCATCCCTAAACATGAATATGAAAATGTCTTTGTGGGAAAAACTAAATGAGTCTTATGAGCAAATTCACATTATTATATGTAAGTTTGAAACGAAAGGAATATGTGAATATTAGTGGCGGTTTATTAAGTTGCATTGCACTCTAATTGATGTTGGTGTGGTATGAAATGGATGGATGTGTCGGAGGATGAAGGAGGTTGTTGTATGGGATATTTAGAATATAAGGGAGAAAAGATGGTAATAATGGAAGAGCGGTTGAAGAGGACCGGGGGGGGGGGATGCCTGGTGCTCATATGACATTCGATGATGGTAATAGGCAGTAGTGGGCAGTCATTAGCGATTATTCATGAACGAATGAATGAGAAGATGGATTGTTGATAATGATTGAGTGAATAACAGTTGTTTGAGAGAACGTGGGTGCTATTGCTGCGACACGACATGCTTTCATATGTCATCGGTGTACTTACTTGATTTGATGACAAAGCATGATGAATTGAAATGCTTGAAAATGAATGGTTATTGCAATATATAACGAATAAGCTGCACACTGAGTGAGAGTAATGCATGAACCGTTTCGGAGCTATTGAATTCGGTGGCATAAGTGGAGTGGGATAGAATTTAATTTATTTGTTTAGCTTCTTCAACAATAAGCTTTATCCTTTGTAATCAGTTTTGTTCGCACGGAAATGGGATTGATTATGTGAAGGTTTCGGAAAAAAAATCTGTGGGTGTGATAAAGGTGGAACGTTTAGCTGGAAATCTTATATTGGCATTCAGTCATACGATGGGAAGTTTT